TGACTACTTCTAAGCAATTCCAACTACTCTTTAGTCTTTCATCAAGTTTGCGCTAAAACTGTCTGAGCAAGATGGGTTGGGGAGGGGGGTCGCTGAAGCAGCGATCGCCATGTTGCCGGCAGTCGTTTAGTATCATCGCGCATGTTTAAGCTGTTAGGCCGTTTTTTAATTTCGATGGCTTCACGAATAATTCTCGATTTTATGGAGCGGATGGGAGGCAAATGGTTTTTGCTTCTTTGAAAGCAATTTTGTGGCTTGTCTGTTTATGATATTGGGCTAGGGCTGAAATAGTATCGGAATGTTATACAGATATAGAATGTTCGTAAATATGGTTATGGATTGGTCGGTTTGTCTGTCCTAAGTATTTACGTGGGCAACTGGAACAAGATATCTCGTAGACACCATGGTCTTCATTGGGATTTGGCCTTTTACGGATCTGACGAGATTGGACAACTTGGAGTGAGTAGTGAAGATGGTTTTGATCTTTAGAGTGTTAAGAGTTCTACTGATCTTGTCAGTCATATCTTATAAAAAGGTAAAAGATTTTGGGTTGATCAGGCAGCAAGGTTTCTTTTTTGGATGGAATGAGGTTTGAATATTTTTTAATTCTCCTATTGATTTAAATTTTGTGGTAGCCAATTTGTTAGAGTGTTTGTCTTATGGAATTGATTTCGGATGATCTGTGATTGTTGTCGCTAAGTCTTATGAAAACAAGAGTGTTGATAACTGAATTGAGTTGGGCGGGCTGATGATGTAACTGGGCATTGAAATAACGGTTTGAATGGGTGGGTTTCCGATACATAGGAAAAACTGTGAGGTGGGTGTTTCTGAATAATAACATCAACGAATGGCAAAGACGCTTCAGACTCAATTTCCATCGTCAATTGAATACTGAGATATATTCCATTCAGGTGGGAGAGGAAGAGATCTAATGTGTCTTTATCATGGGGCCAAATTACAAAGGTGTCATCAACGTACTGTAACCAGCAGATTGATTGAAGATTTGATAAGGATATAACTGTGGTTTCGAAATTTTCCATGTAGATATCAGCCATTATTGGGGAGAGCGGAATTCCATTGGGGCACCTCTCAGTTGATGATATAAATGATTTTGGACTGAAAAGTTTGTATTAGAGATGCAGTACTTTAAAAGAAATATTGTGTCTTGGGAATTTGATGTTTAGAGTCCAAGATAGAAATGGTTGCATCGATAGGAATGTTAGTAAACAAAGCAACAATTTCAAAACTAATTAGTATATCTGAGGATAAAATAGAAATGTTTTTCAGAAGATCAATGAATTGAAAAGAGTTTTTGACAAAGCACGAGGCGTTTTTGGGTAATGGTTGTAAGAATAAGGTGAGATGTTTTACCAATTTCTGAGTAGGGTAGTTGTATGCATTGACGTTGGGTCTTAAATATATCTTTGGAATTCGGGATGATTTTGCAAGGTGTCCACACCTTCCAGTTCTAGATCATCAATTAATAGTCTAGATATCTGGTTGCCTAATCTAGTACAATACATATACTTGGTTTTCTTTGCGTTTATTTTTAATCCCATTCTCAGTGCAGACGCCCTTGATGATCAAAGTGCTTCGATCAGAGATTCTGTGGACCAAGCAATAAGAAGAAAGAATCCATTTACCAAAATATATTAACAAACACGTCACAAAAACCCCAAATTTTAAAATTTCATAAATTTTCCAAACACCAACTAATAAATGCAAAATCTATTTATATAATTCAAAAATTTAGTCGAAAAAATAAAAAGAATGTTGTTTTTGTACTGTTAAACTTTATTACTTTCGTTTTCTTACTTGTATTTGAAGCTTAGATGGTTTTAGCACCATTTAAAATGAAGTATTCATTGCTTATGTCCCTGTTTATATTTCTAACAACATCCTAACATAATTATTAACATTGAATATCATACTAAAAACAAAAACAAACTTAATTATCCAAGTTGTTTGCATTTTTGAGCAAAACAATGCCTTGAGGCTGTCACACTGATATTTCCTACCTTAGATTTTAGATTTAACTCCTTAGTCTCGCAATGTACACATATTTTTACACACAACCACTAAAATTCGACACTTTCGTACTTCACGATACGAAACTTTCGTATGTTCAACGAGCCGTGGCACTACCAAGTGTATAAAGTCGAACTAAATGTGTACCTAGACTGATAAGAACGATTACCTATTATCTGACGCTATCTAAGTAAAGTCATCCAGATTAACAAAAATATGTTTATCTATATACCATACTAGCTATTGTTTCGGAATAATAAGTAACAGATAAGGTTAATCGAAAAGAAAACATCATTAATATTTTTTCATCGATAAGAATAATTGATCACATTTCTGCAAAAAGGAATGATGATTTGCTGTGTCTTTTTTTTAGTAGCAGGTATTTCTGAGGAAGTATTGATCAATATTTTCTTACGCACTACATTTTAAAATAAAAAATATTTAACACTTCTTCTCATGGCGCCGTCTCCTTTCGAAGTTTGGCGATCCAAATGGCAATTGTGGTTTTGGAAACTGCTGCGCGAAAGATTTCTGCGGATGAGCGGTCGATCCATCTCCTCAGGTCTTTCAGCCACGAGTTCTGCCGTTTTCCTACTGATCTTTTGCCATTTACTTTTCCTTCCAGTATAACTTGAAGTAATTCATATTTTTCGCCTCTCAACACATGATCCAAGTGTTGCATTCTCCTCTGTTTGATTATGCTTAGTAATTCTTTTTGTTTACACATGCCACGAAATACTTCAACATTAGTAACTCTTTGTACCCATGGAATTCTCAACATTTGTCTGTACATATACATCTCAAAGGCATCTATTCTTTTTTCTATTTCAGCGTCCATTGTCCAGCTTTCACAGCCGTATAGTAAGACAGAAAAAACGTAACATCTGATCATTAGGATTCTAAGCTGCAGACTAAGGTCTGATCTTGTAAAAAATGTTTTCATGCTCATGAATGTTTTTCTCGCTTTTTCGATTCTTAATAGGATTTCTTTTTTTGGATTACACTGACTATTGATATTTACTCCCAAATATTCTATGGAATTTACCTGTTCTATTATTTGACCCTTGCCGTACACAATGCTCATGCTCATTCTGTCTCCGGCTTCTATACAACATGTAGCTTCTCCTTAAAATGTTAAAGTGTTTGTTTGTCTTAGTGTATTGTATTTTGTATTGTTATGTCCAAATTTTACATTTATGACATTTTACTCATGTCAGGATAGGCCACAATTGACGAAATGCCCCTGAAGATGATCTATTGATCGAAAGTACTTGGGCAAGATTAAATTAATCACCGTGTTCGATAGTTGCCTTGTATACCCTTAAATGTTGGTATTTTACCTGTGTCATATATCTTATTGAATAGTATTGTTTATTATTATTGAATACTACTAGTAAAAGCCTAGTAGGTTTTTACTTTCGTTATCTGCAATTAGTTTTATTATTTCGACATTGATATTGTCTGGACCGGTGGCTTTTCCATCTTTCTGAGATTTTACTGCATGAATCACTTCTTCTTTGGTTATTTCTGGGCCTTTTTCATTTATTCCATTATCTGTGGATGGTGAAGAACAAGGTCTATCGTCGCCAAAAAGATTTTGTATGTATTCTTTTCATCTCGCTAGTTTGTCTTCTGTACCAATAATTATTTCGTTATTATCATTTTTTATTATGATTATTTTTATTTCTTTCTTAAGCTTGATATTTATTTATTTTTTCTGTTCAGGGCTCTTCAATTGTGAGATGTCTATTTTTCTTGTCACTGTTTTCTTTTTGACTCTTAGAAATCATTTTAATCTAAAATCCATTATAACTGGATTGTGATCGCTATGTATATCAGCTCCAGGGTATGTTTTCGTAGATTGTATGTACTTATTAAAGGTGTTATTGAGCAAAATGAAGTCAATTTGATTTCTGACAATTTTGTCTTTTCAATCTGCAGGTGATTTCCATGTGTATAGCTTTCTAGGATGTTATTTGAAGAAGGTATTGGCTATTTACCGATTGTTTTCTACTCAGAATTGTACAAGTATATCTCCTCTATTATTAATGGTACCTAGACCGTATGCTCCTATGTGGTCTCCTTTAGCACCACCACCACTTTCAGCGTTAAAATCACCCACGATCATCGTTATATATCTTTTTAAACTTTGAAAATAAGGCTATTATCGAGCACAAGTTAATTAAATCTAGCCCAAGTACTTTCGCTTAAAATAGCATCTTCAGGGGCATTTCGTCAAAATGTGAACTATCCGGCAAGCGTAGAATGTGAAAACATTAAAAATAACATAAAATTGTACAAAACACTACACTAAAACGAGGACAAACAGTTTAAAATTTCTTAAAGATTCTACGCTACATTCTCTGTCAGTATCTGGAGGGATAATGGATTATTAAACCGACGTATTTTGAAAATATCATGGATGGATCGCAAAACAAACGAACAAGTTCTCGAACAACTAGGAAAACAATGTGAAGTTTTAAATTCCATAAAAATTAGGAAATTGGAATACTTGGGGCACATCATGAGAGGTGAAAAGTACGAACTACTAAGGAATATAATGCAGGGTAAAATCAAAGGTAGAAGAAGTGTAGGAAGACGTAAAACCTCGTGGCTACGCAATCTCCGTGAATGGTTTGGATGCAGTTCAATTGAACTATTCAGGCGAGTAACCAATAAAAGTATAATTGCCAGAATGATTTCCAATCTCCGATAGGAATGGAACTTGAAGAAGAAAGAAGAATAATACAATTTAGACGCTGTCCCTTTAATAAAAATATAGTTAGTATTAACTATATATTAATCTTATATTGAGAAAATGCGCAATTTGAAATACTTATTTTAAAGTAAAATGTTTTTAAAACGAATTCTAAACTTTTTAACGAATTTGTACTAAACTTTATTGTCGATTTTTATAAATTCGTCGAAATTTGTGTAACCCTATGGAGACATTAATTAAATCATTTTTGCAGGTTTGCAAGATGCTATATCGAAAAATCTAATTATTGCTGATAAATCAGTGTTGTCGGCTCGGATTCTTGCCATTAATGCTTCTACGGGATCATTAGTTAATTGCGCCTGGTGGCAAAAACAAGGACTGGATATCGGCGGACCCAAGAAGATATCAGATACCGGTATGGAAGTTGGAAACAGACCCAATACCGAGTATCCTTGGTAAGTAGAAATATGCTATAATTGACAACCTTTATTTAAATCTTAAGAACACTGTATTACTAGTTATAGAATAAATATAAAGTAAAAATTAGAACTTTGTTATAATTAGGAGTATATTGTCCTTTTGATTTTTTAACATTTATGCAAGATCTTATTGGATTTAAACTAAAAATTACATAGCAACAATAAAAAAAACTTATTTGACAAAATTACCTCTATATTATGTATTTTAGTGCGCTTTAAAGTCCGAAAATCACATTAAAACTGCTGTATCACCCACTATTCTTTCACAATTTGTTATTTAAAATTGTTCTCTGTAAACAGAGAAATCTAATATGACTTGTTCGGTAGCACTGTAAATGAATTGTACAACATCCTTTATTCTTCATCGTCTTCATTAACAGCTGTACAGTTCTTTTACTCTAATAAATAAAAAGATAACCTCACTTTTCAGTGTTTGACTCATACACTTTTATGTACGGCTAATCGCGGTTGTAAAAACTGCCCAAATACATTTTTTTGGGCTCCTCACAATGTATGTTCTGTTTGTGTTAAAAATTTAAGGAAGTCGTCGAAGAAAGAAAAAAGCTTTCAGATTTGTAGTGCCTATGGTATGGAGAGACCAAAAAAAAACATTTAAATGATTCTTATTTTTGTACTATCGGTGTTTTTGTGTATTAATTGTATCGGATACAATTCCAAACTTAAGAAAGTGATTGTTTATCGTAACTTCAAGGCTGATATTTGTCCAGTAGAGCATGCACCTTAACTGCCAGTCGCTGAGCCTCCTCTACGTATTAATGAGATATTAAATGCTAGTGAATTAGAATCTAATGAAAATAGGAAGTGATGGTGAATTTCAGTGTCCTTCAGAAAATTTACAACCACAGTTGTTTGTACAAGCTGAGTTAGATGACTTAGTAAGAGATTTTGGTTTAACAAAGGAAAAATTAAAATTGCTTGGCTCTAGATTAAAAAAAAAGAATTTGTTGTCAGCTGATACATCTATTTACAAGTACAGGTGCAGAGATCAACAGTTCGCTCAGTTTTAGGAAGAGGATTTGTTCTAATGTCATAATATTGGTGGTCTAATGAACGAGCTTATTATTGAGTATAATAAGGATGTTTTCTATCTTCTTCTTTGAGTACCGAGTACAATCGCAGATCTAGAGCGATATCGCTCTAGATCTTGCGCGGCATGTAATAATTCATCTGCTGATAAGCCAGTCCATTGACTAAGCCATTGTTTCGGAGCGATGAGTATTTCTTTCTACCAATTCTTCTTCTTCCGTCGATCTTTCCGTTAAGTATCAACTACATTATTTATTTATCAAAATGAGCTTAAACTCAAATAAAATTATTATAACTGAATAGGTATTTTTAATACCTTTCAAACGAGGTATCACTTGCCATAAGGTCCCATTTAAAATTATCTGTCACAGTGGCGCTGTAACGTCATCTGTCACTATTACGTCACCTGTTATGACTAGTTGAGAAGCCTACGTCTGTTTATTACCTCCCTTCAAATTTCACTATTATAAGTATAACCGTTCAAAAACTACGAAGGGGGGAACGGACTTTTGACTAGCACTGTATATAAAGCCTTATAATATGTAAGTAATACATTTTTAAGGTATGAAGACGCAGATTCCAGTCCAGGAGTACGATCTCCAAAATTTGTGGAAAGTCCTCCGAATGTAGCTTACAAAGGATGGTGGACGTTTCCTTACTATTCGTGTCTCAGCAGGAAATGGCTCATTTCATACAGTGTTCCAATTCCGCCACCTGGACGAAGAGGGTAAGTACATTTGTATTTACAGAGAATTATTTTTCAGACATTTTGCCATTTTCACAAACTATAAATGTATAAAATAAAACTAAATAAAATAGCAGAAATATACCCCAAAAACTTATTGTTTATAAACTTTATCGTGAGTAATTAAGCAAAAGCAAAAACAGTCACAAATAACGACCAAAGGTTTTCTAACTGTAATTACTTATGAATAGCTCATAATTTATTAGAAGTTAATCAATTAATTGTTTGTCCTCAATGTATTTACCAGTAATTAGGCATTTCATAGAGAACTTCGAAAATATTTATATTTATGATACGAATAAGCATTAGTTCAATTAAAATTTTGCTAATGTAAAACATGCAAACCCCTAAATTATACGGAAATATTAATATACTGTGTCAAAATAATCAACATAACTTTTATAAAACAAATTTTTTATTTGATGTTTGTTTTTCAGATCGGAAGTTGTTTTCAAGTATCATTTTTCTTTTACGTCGTAAAATAAACTGAACTGATCCAGCTAAGAATAAATTTTATTTGCTTAGTTAAACTGATCTTTTAGAAAATTTTTGGTTACAAATGTTAATGTTTAAAATTTTAAAAAGGAATTTATCATTGATTTTTTTTCTTTTTATTCTTTAATAATTATTTACAAGTACTAAAAGTACTAATATACTAAACAGTACATTGAGTAATTAGAAATTGTGATGACAATATTGACTTGATTTGGGTACCGTCTAGTGATAGCCCTCCATTTTCATTTATCTAACGAGGTTTCCTGGCCAAGCCCTCTTCAGTCTTCGTTCCTCCATTGGTGGCTGATACAATTCACTAATAATGTTTTTGATTGGAAGATCTGCAAAATGTTTGTGATTGAAGGCTTGCTACAGCCCCAGAGTTCTACGCATGACTTTGTAAAGAAGTATTTTGTACTCAAGTGACAATTGTGACTTTCTGCCAAGTAATTCAGTACCAATTCAGTTATTTAAATTTTTTATTACCCTGACTTTTTTGGTGTGAATGTATTGCTTTCAGGTGAGCCTTTGGTCCAAATGCAACTCAAGATATTTCACTACGTCTCTAGCATGAATAGGTGTAGTTTAGACTAAATTGTGGACAGACCAGTAGGGCACCTAGAATTTTCTTCTGGCGGGGGGGTTGGTTGGGCACCGACATTTTTTATGCTACCTCCACCATTTTAAACCGGTAGAACAGGCAGGATTCCGAAAGCTTTACGGTACAGCGGATCATCTTCTTACAGTCAGAACTCTAATAGATAAAGCCAATGAATATCACTTGAACTTATAATTGACTTCGTTGATTATGTAAAGGCATTCAACTCCATAGCACTTTGGGCAATAGAGAATCCTATAAATAACTGAAGGATAGATTCCGATACAGAATGCTCATACATGATATTTACAAGAAAGCTACAATAAAAATACAAATAGATGCGAAAACCAAAGCTATACCAATCAACAGAGGAGTTTGTCAGGGTGATATTATCTCACCAAAGCTATTCACACTTGGACTGGAAGACGTGTTTAAAGACATTTACTAGGCAGATAAAGGAATAAATGTTAATGGAATAAAACTGAGTCATTTAAGATACGCTGATGACATTTTTATATTCCCTACAAGTTTAGAAGAATCATGGTCTGCAGCATGATAACGGAACTATTTCAAGTTTCGGAAAAAGTAGGTCTTAAGATGAACTTGAAAAAATTGATATCTGATGATATATGGCTTAGATCAGTATATATAACTGTTTGTATGAAAAAATAAAACTGCTTTTAGTATTTTTCATACAATTTCATCATATTTTTTTAAGCGAAACGAAAAAGGTTATATGACGTGAAGTTGTTAAACGTCATTTTAGGTTTAAATGAACTACCACTGTAGAGAGTCGTATTTATAAAACATTTTGTAAAAGAGTGTAATGTAACTGGTTGTATGGGAAAATAAACGCGTTGCTTCTACTGTTTTCCTTATAATTTCATCATATTTACTCACCTATTAGAACTTTAAAGAAATATTTCAAAATCAAAATTAGCTAAATCAATTCAGTTGTTCTCGATTTATTATAAAATAATTTGAATTTACAATTAAAAAAAATAAGGGTTATTCATCCAGTTAAAAAATATCCTATCTCCTAAGTTGGACCAACAAATATGCTTTCACAGTACTTTGCTAAGTAACATGGAATTACAATAAATATTCATTCACTACACTAAAATACACTAAGAAACGTCACTGGGAATAAAACAAAATAGTATTTTTTGCAGATCTATTAACCGATTTTGCCGAACCAAAATACATTGATAACAAAAAATGCTACAGTATAATCTGAAATTAATTATTGTAGTAAGTATTTCAAGTTATTTTTTTTTTAATATTTAAATCAATATTGTCAATGACTCGTCTTTATTTGTCAATGCTTAGACAAGGAAAGAGAGAGGACGTGTAACTGTATCGCTAAAAGTGAAGCCAAACTGCCACCAGAGGAACTATTCAGGGGCGTATCGTTGTATTTTTAAGGATTGACTAATTCGTATTTAAAATGAAACATTTTTGTACATTAAATGTTTTATTTAATTTATTTATTTTATTTATGGAATTATATGGAATATTTTATGGAATTTTAACCCTCAACGCACATCGCCACTGGCAAATCATTATGGTGTGTGAGTGAAATTATTAATTATAATACAATTACTGAAATAACTACGCATATCTAGCATTCTTATTTACCAATTTAGATCTCACCTTTCCTTAAAATACTAATTTAAATTGGTTTTGAGGTTTATAATTGAAATAAAAAGTAAAATCAATTAAAACCCAATTGCACAATTATAAATATTTACCTATGAAACGATATTCCTGGTGTTTCCTGCTCGCTGCGATTTTAACAAAGAATAATATGCACATTTCACCATTTTGTTAAGTAAAAAAAAAGGTGATTAATTCACTTTTTTTTAAAAAACCACTAAAACAAAACTGGTATCTATTGTTTGCCACCAAAAAAATGGCGGACCCATCGAAAAGTGGCTTCACTTTTTGAAGGTTGGTTGAACGAGCGTTACCCGTCCTCTCTCTTTCCTTGTTTAAGTGTCAATGATCTGTGAATCTGTCAAATAATAGACGTCAAATTTTTACTCATCGAGTTTTTTGCTGACATTTATAACAGCATTTACAAAAATGAAACTAA